TATTAAAATATAATAATATTACGCACACTTTTTCTTTAAAAACAAAAACATATCATTCTATTAAATCATAATTCTCTACCATAACAATAATCTAATGAGAAAAACACTATATTTTTTAATAAATATTAAAATCAAGTTGAATAAAGAAATAAAAAAAAACAGTAAACCTAAAAATATTGAAAATAAAATATATATTAAGCCAATTTAAATTTAATTTAATTTAATTTAAAAAATATTAAAAAAGTAAGAACTGGTCATGATGCACGTTGGTACTCGTCTTCAATTATTCCTCACTGAAGATTCAAACAAAACTTTGGTAGCCATACAAATGTAACAAACTTTGTGGTGCTAAAAACTGTTGAAAAAACTTTGTGATTCTCATTTTCCATTCACTTTAAAATATCTTTATAGTGATTTCTGACGAAATTAAATGGAATAAGTTAAGCTTTTTCAATTTTAAAAAAATTCTGCATGACAAATAGCTTTCTGGAGTAAGAAACCCTTTCTTCTAACTTACACGTGCAACTTATGTTAAACGAGTCAAACCTTTAAAATTGTGGTATATAATCCCTGAAAATAAGGAAAAATTAAATAAGTGTATTAAATTTTAAGAAGAAAAAAATGTTAGGATAAAAATGAAAAAAGTTTGTACATGTTTGACAATTATTACTATAAATTATTTATTTTAGCAAATAGTTATTGTATGCCTATTATTATTCTATAACGAGACCAACCAGACGACCGTAATGAGCGGGACGAAGTCAAGCAGTGATTGAACGTGATAGAAGTCCTCACACAAGACCGAACAACCATGAGTAAAACATCCGAGCTAAAGTCAATAATCAGATCTTTCTGCAAAGTTTAAGGTAAATGATAATTAGGGGCATTGGGTTGAAATTGGGTCATGATTAAGATTTCTAACTATAAATACAGGTCAAAGGTAAGAAGTATGTCTTTGCATTTATTGCACATTTATTACTGTTACATTAAAATTTCGTACATACAGTCGACTGACTTAAGTATCGAATAACCTTTAAAAGGTACACCTTCAAAAAATGGAACGAAGAAGAAAGTTAGAAGAGCAGTTACCGAATGACCTCCCAAAAGAAATTGTGAAGGTGTTAGTCACTCGACCTCACACCCAAAACAGTTACATTTTTTTAAAAAACATATTTATACTTGGTGTAGCATCTTTGAAACTATCCCAGCATTTATAGTTTGATTTTTTTTCTTATAAAAACTTCATTACATTTTCGTATTTTTATTGCTTGAAATAAAAATTAGTTTCTATTTGACATGTAAAATTGATAAAGGTATATGTTATTTATTCTTACCTAAGCATTTATTTGAAGAAGAAGAAATTCAACCCCTTTGGTTATAAGTTTGTTCATTTTTATCGTTTTTCATATAGCACCATTCTTATAATAAAATAAAATAATAAAAATGTCTGTTAATAATTAAATCGACTAATTAAGTTGTATAAAAAAAAGCAAAAGAAAGGTATTTGCAAGTTGATTTTTAATATAAATTGATTCTGTATTTATTTTTTTAAAAAAAATATTTGTTAAATTGGTGGAAGATATGTGCACAATAATAATGTAACTTTATTTGTGAGGTTGTGAGGGAGATTCTCGAAAAGTCTACTGTCACACAAATATGAATTTGTTCTTATAAGATTGAGAACACTCCTTAAAAAGATTTCATACAGTCGTTTCAAAAATTTGAGGTAACTTCTCAAAAAGAAGGAATGTACTTCCAACTTCATGCTCAAGATCCTCGTTTCTTCAAGATTGAAAAGTTGTGTGTTTATAAAAGACACTCTCACGTCTAAGTTTGCCGAGTACGTCAGATAACACTTAATATTACAATAATGAATATATACTATTTACTTCAATGATTGTACTATTTATAGGATAATTATGACATTTGTGAGACCTCACTTATATGGATCCAATGGCCCATTTACCTCATGAGTCAGTTGTTTGATTTAAATTATGCTAACTTATAGAGTAATACGCCATTAGTTTTGTTAGTTCGAAAAGTAGTTGGACGACTCACTTATGTCCAGGTAGTGGTGGTCATACAGGTCGGCTTGTGGCCGAATAGAAGTGTCAGAAAGTTCACTATTAGCCCTGAAAGGCGACACATGGTTCTAATAGGCGACACATAGTCCTTGTAAACAATACATAACTCTCAATAGGTGACATATAGTCTTGATAGGCAACACCTAACTCTCGATAGGTGCCCCTAGCTCTAAGTAAGTGATACATGGCTCTCGGTAGGCGACACATAACTCTCAGTAGACGACACTTGGTTCTGGTAATCGACACTTGATTTTGGTAGTCGACACTTGGTAGGAGACACCTAGCTTTGGTAAGTGATACCTAGCTCTGGTAGTCGACGCCTTGTAGGCGACACCTAGCTTATTAATTGTTTTTTACATCACCAACTCGAAACAATTATTTTGTTTTCAACATCATTGACACATGATACTTCGTCTTTATAGGAAAAGAAACTTTGCAGTAGATTCCACGAACACTACGTTGAACATTCTTCTTCTGTCGAGAGGGTTCTTCCTCCATCGAGCGTTGATGACGGAGCATCAACGACGATAAGTCTTTGTAGCAGATTCCAGTTTTGCTATGAGAAACCATGATCAATCCTAAATTTCTTGCGTCTCGAAGCTCGAACATGCACTCTCATTCTCAATTTGATTTTCATAACACTAATTTGGTCATGGTTTTGATTTCAAATTTCAGAAACCCTTTTTTCTAACCTTTTAATTAAACATTTTCCACCTGCATATGCCATGTCATTAAGTTATTCCAGCTCACACTGACAAGTCATCTGAAAGTTAACCCCGTTAACCTAATTTAACGACAGGGAGCCAATTGCTTCAACTTTTCACTATTAGGAACCCATTGAAAAAGAAGCACCATTGAGAAACACAAAAAATAGGAACGAGATTTTAACTCTTTTTTGGATTTTTATGTATATATGATGATGATTTTTTTATTAATTTTATTATTGTTTATGAATTTTAGTTATATATTAGCTTTATTTGATTTGTTTATTATGATGTTGTGCAATTTTATATTGATTGATATATAATATGCAGAGTTTTGTGACAATGTTATGATAATATTTATATTTGTGATAGACATGGAATGATGATAATATGTAATATTATGTTGTTTATCTTTATTTGAAAGATTTTAAATTTAAGTGTATTTTTTAGTAATTATTTAGATGATCAATGTAAATGATTATTGATATTGATTTATTATGTTGGAAATTGAAAATTTTTATATTTGTGATTGTTTTTTTAATATTTTTTGAATAATAATAGATATATTTTATTGATTTATAATTTAAATTTTTTATTATTAGAGTATTTTGTATTAGAGGATTTAATGTTGATATTATGATTTGAACTAATTATTTTAGAGATGATGATTATGTATAAATTTTTGCATTTTTTTTTATTTTGAAATTGTTGTAAGTTTTAATTTTTTGATGTATTGAAATTTATGTGATTATGTTAGATATTATGTGTATGATTTTTTTTGATGAATATGTGGTTATTGAAGGTTTTTATTTTTGATGATGTATTGTATTATTTTGTGTTTGTTATGCTATTTATATAATTTATTGATGTATTATGTAATGGAATGTTTTTAATATTTTAAATTTTTATGAATCATATACAAAGGTAACCACTTTTGTATGTAAAAATGTATATACAAAATATTATATACAAAAATGCCTATACAAAGCATTTAATGTATTTTATTGAATCATGTTTTAAGAAGTTTTCTTTCTTGTTTTTGTTGTGAAAACAGATTGTCTTAAAAAAATATATTTTCAATGTGATCCTTCTTTTGAATGCAAAACTCACACAAAAGGTTATTGTTATTTCTCATTTTGTTGGTGATTCGCTCCACAAACATATGTAGTCTATCTTGCAAAGGAGGGAAATATCCAAAATGGTCTAACAATTCCTTCTTGACTTCCTTCTTTATTCAAGGAGCTTCCTTCACAAGCAAAGGAGCTTCATCCGCTAGACATATGATTCCTCCAAGCCTCATGGAGTTTTTACCCCTATTCCCACCTATTAAATAGGTGTTTTCTAATTTCTTCAAAAGACCACCTTCACTCACTATCTTTTTTTCCGACTAACCTTTTATCTGAGTTCTTTGCTCTACGAGCTTGTTACTAGTCCTTGTTGACGAGTTCCTATATTTGGGGCTTACCACACAACACACCGCAAATAAGTTCTTAAAGGCAATGATCATCCATGCTCCAAGAAATTGATCTTGTTCGTATTTTTGTCGACATTTTACAACAATCTTAAGGACTTTTGTCTGACAGTATGAATATCGACAACAACATAGTGTACATAGTGTACTTTTGTGATAACCTTTCCTAGATGTTTTGAAAATTGAAGTTTTCACTAGTAAAAAACTCTAATGTTGGTGGAACAATGCCTACCTTGTTAGACATGTATGAGTTGCTTTCGATCTTACCCCTTCCTAATGACTCTAATACTTTATAAATCAAATGAGATTTATGAATAAGGTTAGTGTCGTCACCCTTGGCTTAATGCATTATTTAACATAGTTCGTTTTGTATTTCTTCTATAAAGAATTAGTGCATGAATTTCTAACCTTGTTCATCATACTGCTTTACAACAATGTTTCCGATTAAAAAGGTTTCACCATCAATGCTTTCTGAAACAATTCTCTTCATGAATCTCTTTTACTGATGAAAACAAAACACCTTTTTCAAGTATAAAATATATTTTCAGAGTGAAAATTATAAATAATAATAGTAATAACTTGCATTGACTGAAACAAACTTCATGTACTTTAGTTTCTCCAACAATCTAGAAAAATCGCAGAAGTATGCAACATGCCTAAATGATTTATAATTGAAAGAAAAGGATTTCGTTGTTGTTGTAATTAGGCTAATTGAAAATAATTGTCTGTTAAACAATACAATGAATATCCTAAATGTTATGAAACTAATAATAATAATAATTGAACAAATACCTTCTCTTTGCTTCCAGCACTTCCAACAACATAACAACCGCTCAACTTGGCAAATTGGCCAACAAGTTGACCAACAGCACCAGAGGCAGCTGAAACAAAAACATTTTCTCCTTTTTTTGGAGAACCTATTTCGAAGAAACCAACATAAGCAGTCATCCCAGGCATACCTGTGACCAGAAAATAAAAGGTTATGGGTCAAAAGGCCCGACAAAATGATAAAATCATGCAAGAACATCCATAAGCTTGCATACAAGCTTGCTGAGATTCATTCAGAGAAGAAAATAAGATGGGTAAAAAGGCTCAACTAAGTTATATTATAAAACCTTGCCATATCATAAGCTTGCATGCAAACTTGATAAGATTCATTCAGGTGAAACAGAATAGATTCAGACATGAATAAGTATCTGACATGGCTACGTGTCAAGACCATTATTTAGAAGTGTACCACTTCTTAGGTAAAAATATGAGAGGAAAGATGTGGCTGTAATGTAACAAACAAATATACATATGTAATGAATAAAGGATTAATTTCAACATAACTTTGATTGAACATTGAAAATGCAAGCAAAAGCATTGTAGGAAAAAGTAGCTGGATAACCTCCTCCAATTTTTAATGTGCATCACTCACTAAGATGAAAATAAATTGAAATTGTTGAATATATACGTACCAAGAATTCCAGTGTAGTAGGAAAGTGGGACATCAGTGTGTTCAATTTTGAAACATATTTGAGATGGGGAGATAAAGCTATACTCTTCCCATTTGGTAATTCCCCAAACCAAATCACCTTTCTTATAATCTGGATGTCCAGATTCCAACACTTTAGACACTCCATAACCTGTCAATGGCTGCAATATTGTTCATTACATAAGTTATCAGCCACATTTATTTTAACTTAAGACTACCTCTGTTATTGATGTTTTAGGTTTTCTCTTTTCTATACTTAAAAAATATCCATTTAGTTTCTAGATACATGATTTCAATATTTGTTTATTTTTTATAAATATTTTTTTAGTATTTATAAATATATTTTTTATCCTCTAAGATATAAATTTATAAAATTGGAAAGAGACTAGAAATAGTATTCAAAGACTACAAGTATCTTTTAAATATATAAATAAAAAACAAATTTACTTACATATATAAACCAAAAGTATGAGTAGAATGTATTTGGAGTAGCTTCTCCATAAACATTTTGAAAGGAAAAAAATTCTTAAAAAAATAAGTAAAAAAAGATAATTAATAAGTTAACGTTTGTTTTTACACGAATTAGAAATACAAATTAAAAAAATTGGGAAATAATTTAAAAAAATGATTTCATTACATGTCTAAAAGGATATATAAAGAGTAATTATTCATGTCTAAGATTATCTTCTCATTGTACATTGGATTACCTGTAAAAGTTATGGATAACCTTTTTTTACCTTTCGGTGGTGGTTAAAAAATTAATTTGAAACAAAATTATCTAAAAAATTACCTTTTCAAATACATGTTAATCTTAAAGTATACATTCAAATAAAATTATATTCTAAAATATTAATACAGATATCTATTTAAAATAAATAAAATAAATCATAAATTTAGATAAAAATTAATCCCTAAAAATAACTTTAATTTCATAAACCTAAACCAAAACCTTAAATCAATAAAATAAAATCTTAGCGCAATTTTTTAATTATCAACGTTTCTCTAATCTTTGCTAACTTAATTTTTAAAAAATATAAATATAAATTGTTAAAATTAGTATACTAAAATCTAATTAAATTATATACACATACATATTTAGATATTTAATATTAACGTGTAATAAATAAAACCATCAAACCAAAATATTTGAATCCAGTCATACCAAAGAAAAGGTTCAGACCAGGTTACAAATACAAATTCTTTTACAATGAACAAAAACTATCTGACCAACAAAATGTTAAATCATATTTATTTTTTTAATTCTTCAACTAATTATGTTCTGTATGAAAGCTTGAAGTTATCTCACAAACACTAAAAGATGAAAAACTTCGTAAGAAGATTGAAATGTGAAGAAACATTGAAATTTAGATCTAATTCCATCTCAAAACATTAGCTCAATCATTATTATAATTATTGTACGAAAAGGTTGAAAGTAAAAGATAAAGCAACATTAAAAGATGAAAAACTTTAAAAGATTGAAATGCAGGTAACATTTTGAATGCATTTACGTATTACATAAACTTTTAATTCTTAATCATAACATTTTCAGAAGTAGAACAGTGTTAAAATGTAGAAAAGAAGTGCAGTGCTGGAAAAAAGTTTGATGACTCACAGCATCAGGTGTGTAGTGATGATATACATCAATGGCTTCCATCTTGATCATCAGGACTCTCATGACAGGGTCGCAAGAGAGGTAGAGGTTCTTCACAATCACCTTATCGGAACCTTCTGGAAGCTTCAATTTGATCCTTCCTTCCACAATTTTCATGTCTGATTCCTTCGGAAAACCAACCACATAGTCTCTTAGAACCACTCGCTTGTTCCTCACTTCCGCCATTGGAATTTGCCGGTACAGTGATAAGCTTTGTGAGTGCGTCGGTTATGGAGTCTCTTTGCTCTTCGCGCTGCTTCCAGTATTAGAAGCATTTATAGAGGGAAATGATTAGGGAGAAGATGGGAAAATCAAACGCTACTCTTCTGTTAGATCCTTATCACAATTTTTTATTTTATTTTTTTATTGAAAATATATTTTTCTCCTATCACAGTTTTTATTTTTTATTTAATTAACAGTATCATGAAAGGGATTTAAAAATAAAAAAATGGAAATAATAATTATTTGTTTATGAGATTTAAAACTAGAGTTACATCCATTTGTATTTATTTGACACTAAAGATAAAATGATTATAAAAAAATAAATTTTTATATTTTTA